CCTGCTAACAGGCGCTGCCATTATGGAACTGTATGTCTAGTTTAATGAAAAGAAGGACTAGAGGAGAGTCAAGCTTTTCTCCAAAGCACCTGAGGGTAGAACAAGAAGCAATGGGTGGAAACTAATCAAGGAGAGAAACAACTTAGAAATGAGGAGAAATTTCCTGACAGTTAGAACAATTAATCAGTGGAACAGCTTGCCTCCAGAAATTGTGAATGCCCCAACACTGGAAGTCTTTAAGAAGATGTTGGATGGCCATTTGTCTGAAACGGTATAGGGTTTCCTTCCTAGGCAGGGAGTTGGACTAGAAGACCTCCAAGGTCCCTTCCAACTCTGCTATTGTATTGTATTGTACTTCAGATCCATAATGGCAGCGCCTGTTAGCAGGCATCCACTCACCTGCTGTCCGCCACGCCCCTCACCTTGTGTCATTACCGCATCGCCAGCCATCCCATTAAAGTGAATGGGACTGTCGGTGAATCAACAGCGAAGGAGCCGCTGTGGAACAAAGATGACAGTTACTCTTTAAAAATTATAATTATATAATTATATCTAGTTGATTTAAAGCAAGCCTTTTTACATTCCATTATAGTAATCCTGATTTAAATTGTGATTTAAATTGACTTGATTTAAATGAAATCCAACCTGACTATAAGCATGTTAATGTAGTTGAGCTGCAAACGTGTGCTTAATTGTGGGAATCTTAATTAAGATAGCATTTTTTCTCTGTTTTCTAGGCCTTTACTGTTGTTTCAAGGCTAATTTCTCAGTGTAAATACGATGTATTGGAAGAACTGGTATCAAAAGAGGTAAAATATTTAATATCTCTCATGTATTGAAAACAAGATTCTCCTCACTGTTTCTTGAACTGAACATTTCTTTTTTACAGAGGACAGCATCAGCCAACTTTTCACAACATAGTGGATATATTAGGTGTCAGCAGTATAAATTTGGCCATGCTGGCTAAAAATTGTAAGCATTGAAGTTCTGTGTATTTGGAGAGTGTGAGAGGGGAGACCAGTGCCTTAAGTTAATTAAAAGTGGAAGAAACAATTTGGAATTATATTTATATTCTATTCCTAAAGAAGAACAAGCAAATAGCATCTAAGCTGATAGCATTTTATTCCTAGAAACTCTGACAACTTACGTTTGATTTTCTTAAATGGGCAACAATCAGGTTATGTCTTCTCTTCAGTGTAATTTAACCACCATAACTGTTTGTTCCCTTTATTCTAACTTAGGTTTTCTCGCAGTTTATCTAATTATTTAAAGCAAAACTGAGATGTTTTTTAAAAAATACTTGGCTTTTGAAGTAGCAGGGAAAAATGGCAGCATAGTTTTCAATAACTATCTTATATAACTATTATACGGCTGATTAAGTGAGTTGGTGTAAGGGAATTAGTAAATACTAACAATAACAATTCCATTTCCAATCCAGATGATTCAAGTGTTAAGAGAGAAGCTTTCTTTATTGTCAGAAAACCACAGAAAAGCCCTGGCTGCGGAGATGGATGAAATTATGTTCACAGCAACGGGAGATGTGGGCATTTATTATGATGACAGTGGTATGCCTTCATTCTATTTCACACTCCTTAAAAGTATCCCTAAGTCTTTTTAAAATGTCTTCTCCATCCATTTAATTACACTATTCATTTTGAGCACCTGTCTGCTGCTTTGACTTGTGTCTGGTTTTGTATCGATTTCATTCTGCCAGCAAACTTTTGGCCCCTAGTAAAATCAAGTGGTTATTTTTTTAAAAAAAACAGTGGCTCTCAAAATGTAATCTAGGAATCCCTGGAGGTTCCTGAAACCCTTTCAAAGGGCCCGTAAAGTCATATTTGAATATGTGGAATGATCCATGCTATTTAACTTTTATTAGAAGGGAAAGTTGGTTGAAATTGCTTTGAGTCAGATTTTAAACAAATGTTAGCATAAATTTGATAGTGGTAAATATTAGACAAGTAAGGGATGAGGGTAAAATGCATGTGGAATGAACTACGTTATTTAAATCCTATTAGAAGAGAAAGTCGGCTGGAATTATCTTAAGATAGAAATTGATTTCTGTGTAAAGTAATACTTGATCTACGCTGCTTAACTTTACTAAGAAGGGGAAGCTTGGTTAGATTATTTTGAACTACTGTTTGAAAAGGAGGTTAAGAAAGATCATTTACGCTGTTTAAATTTTATTAGAAGGGAAAGTCTGATTACTCTTCTGTAAAGTAATATTTGA